ATTGATTGATTGATTTTTATGTGGTGCTGAGAATCAAACCCAGGGCCTTGCATGTGCTAGGCAAGCACTCTACCACTGAGCCACAACCCCAGCTCCACGCTATAAATTCTTTATATTTTTATATATTAGATGTTTGAATGATTTATTTTAGAAGCAAATACTCTATCTAGCTGAGTACTAGCCCGGTTGTTTTTATATAAAAATATTGAGCAATCACTTGTTAGGAAGAATTTCCAGAAAGATGATGGTAAATGAAGTAATCAGGCTAAAAAAAATTTCCCCTAACTAAAAAAAACTATTACTGATTGAATATACTACTTTGACAGAATGCACATTCCTATGCTTGTCCATAGTTTATTTATAAGCATAATATGTTCATGTTTGATGGTTTTATTTTCCAAACAGAGGGAAAGATGGCTTTTAATTCAATGCCAGAAATTATCTAAGGGAAAAAGAATTTTAAAAATTTGCTGAAATAGTTGATGTTTTCCCAAATGTTTTTCACGCTTTCTTGGCAAGTGAATTTCTGAGGCCAACTGTTGACTTCTGCTCTTCACAGAATAGATTCTAGTAATATAAGGAACCTGTTTATTTGAAAGTAGATAATCAGAAAGCTCATATAAACAGTATGTCCCCCCCCACCCCTGACACTCAGCATTTGTCAAAAGCAAATGAATGAGAAAATAAATTAATTACATGGATCTTTATTCCCTCCCTCCCTTCTTCTTTCATTTAAGTTGGGCAAATGATTAGTAGAGATTTGTGTAGTCTATCATGTCTTCTGCAGTAGAGATTGAAATTATTGCAAAATCTGGAAGTGCTTCCATTAGATTTATTCCTTCTCCCACCCCTCTCTCTCTCTCTGTTTCTCTCTCCTTTCCCTCTTCCTCTACTTTTCCTTTTGGTATCCCATTCCTCCTATTTTAGCTGTTTTGAACACTCTCTTTCCTGACCCACCCAAGTTTCTGTTTCTTCATACATGTTTCTCGCTCTTCTAGAAGCATTCTTTTCTCCTTTTCCCTCTATCTTCTCTTTATTCACAGAGCCTCAGTTTAGATTTCTAGCATTTGGACATCATTCCTTGACCTTCTAAGCTATACTAGGTATTCCTTCTCTCTGCTCTGGGATCATATATGCTGATGCCTGTGGTGGCATTATCAGACTACATTGCAAATGTCAGCATCTTTATTTCTCAGGCCATCAATTTCACAAGGGAAAGGACTAGGCTCATCTTGTTTATTGCTGGATCTCCTGGTCCCGTGTTTGTATCATCATAGGTATTTCTGCAGTGTTTGGCACATTCTAGGTATTCCTAAATATTTGTTGGGTTGATGGGTAAGAAAATATATCCAATAAGATTCATAAGCATTTTTCTGTATTGTTAAAAATTTTTATGAGCACTATTTTAAATGGGAACAAAGTACTTTATTATATACTATGTAATTTGAAATATATATATATTTTTTTATCTTTGTCTGGTTTCTGACACACACAGTTTCTAAATCCCTTATAAAATTTTCTGTATGATAAGGGTGAGAGGAGCATCTTTTGTTATAGTATTTGTTCTTTTACAAAGTTTCTAAAACCTTCTGGAATTTCCTAACTGGTGGAATATCTATCATTATTCATAACAAGCCCTTTCCAGTACACCTGAATTTATGCAAAAGCAGTTTTTCTGGGGCTAGTCAGAGGATTAGTGGATGGGAATCCTCAAACCTACCCATCAGCCTCCAGGAAAAAGGTGGATCTGGAGATCAAACTCTATAAAAACTTCTGGACAACTTGATTTGATGAGCTTCGTAGTTGGTGAGCATATACTCCTTCTGGAAGGGCTGCACACAGAAGCTTCTGTGCTCAGGTCCTTCCTGCCCTTGCTCCATGTACCTCTTTATCTCTGTCCTTTGTAATGAAGTGGCAAAATGTGTTTCCTGTGTTATATAAGCCATCCTAGTAAATTAATCAAACCCATGGAGGAAATTGTGGGATCTCAGAGTTGTGGCCACTATTTCCAGGTAGACAGTTTCAGAATTGAATTGAATTGTGGGATGCCCAACTAGTGTCCACTGGAGAGTTCTTGGTATATGGGGAAATGCCTCTCCCATATGTCTGATCACAGAAATGCTGTGAATGTGTTGAGCAGAGAGGTCATAAATCATAGAGTCATTAAATGTGTGTGACTTTTCCTTTTGGAATATGGATAGCTCATAATTTTTTTTCTTTTTTTTAATTAGTTGTTCAAAACATTACAAAGCTCTTGACATATCATATTTCATACATTTGATTCAAGTGAGTTATGAACTCCCATTTTTACCCCGTATACAGATTGCAGAATCACATTGTTACACATCCACATTTTTACATACTGCCATACTAGTGTCTGTTGTATTCTGCTGCCTTTCCTATTCTCTACTATCCCCCCTCCCCTCCCCTTCCCTCCCATCTTCTCTCTCTACTCCATCTACTGTAATTCATTTCTCTCTCTTGTTTTTTTTCCCTTTCTCCTTCCTCTTATATGTAATTTTATATAACAATGAGGGTCTCCTTCCATTTCCATGCAATTTCCCTTCTCTCTCCCTTTCCCTCCCACCTCTCATCCCAGTTTAATGATAATCTTCTTCTCATGCTCTTCCTCCTTGCTCTGTTCTGAGTTGCCCTCCTTATATCAAAGAAGACGTTTGGCATTTGTTTTTTAGGGATTGGCTAGCTTCACTAAGCATGATCTGCTCTAATGCCATCCATTTCCCTGCAAATGCCATGATTTTGTCATTTTTTAGTGCTGAGTAATACACCATTGTGTATAAATGCCACTTTTTTATCCATTCATCTATTGAAGGGCATCTGGGTTGGTTCCACAGTCTAGCTATTGTGAATTGTGCTGCTATGAACATCGATGTAGCTGTATTCCTATAGTGCACTCTTTTAAGGTCTTTGGGGAATAGTCCAAGAAGGGGAATAGCTGGGTCAAATGGTGGTTCCATTCCCAACTTTCCAAGGAATCTCCATACTGCTTTCCAAATTGGCCACACCAATTTGCAGTTCCTCCAGCAGTGTACAAGTATATCCTTTTCCCCACATCCTGGCCAGCACTTGTTGTTGTTTGACTTTGTAATGGCTGCCATTCTTACTGGAGTGAGATGGTATCTTAGGGTGGTTTTAATTTGCATTTCTCTGACTGCTAGAGATGGTGAGACAGCTCATAATTTATATAACCATTAACCAATTATTTCACTTTTAGACTATCTAGTTTTTCACTGTAATAACAATGTGGTGAACTGATAGCTTTGGATATAAAATTGGGCCTACACCTGTTTCTTCTCCAAAAGGTTGTGCTGGCTTAAACATTTACCAGTACTGAGTGTCTTTCTGCATAGTTTCCTTAGCTTTGATTTTTCTCATTTTTAAATACCCTTAGCAATTTGATTAGTTGAAAGTGGTACGATTCTGTTTTATTTCATCAATGGTGAGCTTGAATATTTTCTCAAGTGGTTATAAATCATTTGAGATTATTTTTTGTGAAGGCAACTAGCAATATTTCTCTAACCAGTGAATATAAAACCAGTTTGAATACTTTTCATTATGCATATTCATTAGATGTTTAGACTTTTTATAAGGCAGATTGCTAGTGCAATTGATTGCTCCAAAGTTTGGGTATAATACAATAATTTCAATTTGATCTTCATTAATTTTCAAAATGCTCACAATTTTAAAAAATCACTAGGGTACTTGTCTAGTGTGTGCAAGGCTCTGAGTTCAATCCCCAGTATCATGGAAAAAAAATTAAAGATGTGGAGTTAAAGCTTTTTTTTTTTTTTTTTGGTGCTGGGGATTGAACCCAGGGCCTTATATATGTGAGGCAAGCACTCTATCAGCTGAGCTATATCCCCAGCCCCTAGAGTTAGCTCTTTAAAAAAAAAAGTGTTTAGGGTATACTCTGAATATGTGGCACTGCTTAGAAATGAAAAGTGGCAATTAAAATTTATTGGGGAGGTGGGGGCTGGGGTTGTAGCTCAGCAGCAGAGCGCTTGCCTAGCACATGTGAGGCACTGAGTTCGATCCTCAGCACCATATAAAAATAAATAAAATAAATAAAGATATTATGTCCATATTAAAAATGTCTTTAAGGGTTAGGGATTGTATAGAAAACTGTCACAGATGCTCAAAAGTCAGCAGTTGTTACTTAGGATGTGGGTGGAATAAACACTAGGTAGGCCTGCAGAGCTCTGCCTCCAGGACAGTGAAACCAGTCTTTCCTGATTGAACATTCTTTTTTTTTTTTTTTAATTGTGTATGGACACAATTGCCTTCATTTTATTTTTATGTGATGCTGAGGATCAAACCCAGTGTCTCACATGTACTAGGCAAGCGCTCTACCACTGAGCTAGAACTCCAGCCCCTTGATTAACCATTTTTAACTCAGCTCTCTTTTAATAGCTGGGCTGATAGAAAGACAAACCTAGATTCTGAGACATGAGTTCTAGTCTCAGCTTTGGAATTAGCCTGCTCTGACTATTCAGATTACTTAATTTTTCTCTTTCTCGGTGTTTATATCATTAGAATTTATTATCCAAGGGCCAGAATTTTATGAATCCATAACTTTTCTTGCAAACAGCTGGGAATGGGCCTGGAAAGCAATTCATATTTGTTGGGAACTACTTGGGGAAAATAATGGGAAAAATTCCTTTATCAGCTAGATTTTTTTAGGGAAAGTGAATGTCCAAATCCTAGATTATTTTCTAATGAACTCCCAAATCCCAGGTAAGTATTTTCTTCTGATATATTAAAACCTGGGCCACTTATAACGTGCCAGAAAACGACAGGTTGAGTGCGTTGAAAGAGTGGAGGGAATTTCTTCAAATATATGGATATTTCCCAAATAAGAGATTGTCTAACTGCTTTAATCCAAAGTCACTATTAGACGCTTGGCGTTTATGGCTGTTTGGAGGCTGTGGGCTGCCGCTGTCCGAACTCCGCACTCCGGTGCTCTGTGTTCGATTCGCTAGGTCTGGCTCAGTGTGCCGAACTCTGCTGGCAGCTGAGAGGGGAAGCCGGGAAGAGGCAAGTTCCTGGTGCAAAGGTTGCTCTGCAGCATAATTTAGGCCTCGGAGGAGCAGTGGTGGTCACGCTCTATAAGATGGGGTTTCCGGAAGCCGCCAGGTAAGTGGCATTCTGCGTTTTGTCATTTGATCCTTCTGACTTTTCACAGTGGACCCATTCCAGGTAAAAGTCCTAATTTTATTGTTTTAGTATTCAGGGAAAAGTAATTTCATCACGTTGATTGCCTTGGCAATGGCTTTTAAACTTCAGCAGCTTTAGGGAAATTTTGATCTAAAGGAGACTGCGAAGCCAAGAGTGCTGAACAGGAGCGCCGGGCGGGCGGCCAGAGCAGGGGTTCAGGCGAATCACTTTTTGGTCTCCTTTCCCACAGGCTTTCTCTCCTGGCCGCCCAGTCTTCTGAGGTGGATAGAGGAAGCCACCCAGTCAGTACATGTGGGATTGGAACTTCCCAAATGTGTGTTTTTGAGTCACCAGGCCTTCACTGCTGCTGACATCCTTTGGCCTCTTGCTGACTTTTTCCTTTCCTTCAAACACCTGCTCTCCCCAAGGCTCAGACACCTTCTGCCATCCCTCTAGGTCCCTCAACTTCCTTGTCACCTAAGAAGGGCTCTTTCTTCCAAGAGGAAAAAAGTCCCCCTTCCTTTCAAAGGCCCAGCTTTCCTCTTTGCATGCTTTTATTTCCCACCACTTTCTGTAACTTTGTTTCAAATATCATGTATACCCTCTTTTGAATCTTTCCATCTTTCTGCTCCCCTTGGCTCCTTTCCCTCTATCAGCAAACATAATCTTCCCTATTCTAAAAAATTGATTTTTCTCATTGACATAATTATTCTTTCATGATAAGCCTTTAATATAGAGGCATCTTTGCTACCGTTGTGTGTTGGAATACCTCATAGTCTAGCCTCACTTCTGATGACAGGCAAGGCTGATCTGAATGAAATCAAAGGTCCTTGTTCTTATTTTCTTTCATCATTCTTTCTAACCATACCTTAGCTTTTAGCACTTAATTTCCTTGTTTTCTCCTAAAATTTTTGGTAAATTTTCTAATTATTTATTCATACCTTTTGCTCTACAAAGGGTATGAGACACACAGAATCCCCTATATTCTTACTCTTTACATATTGTTGGATCTCTTCTCTTATTCTTCCTCTGCTCAGAGTATCATTTCTGTTGTAAAAATTCTTTAAGACTCATTTCAAGCATCATCACCTTTTAAATATTCACAGCTCTTTGTACCTCTTGGTCCTATGCCAGTTTGATTTGTAATCTATCTGGTTTCATTAACTATGAAATACTTGAGGCCTAAGAGTGTGACTTCCTTCTCCTGCTCTTAGAATCTCTCATAGTGAATAAATGTTTATTGAATTAAATAAAAGTCACTGAACCTTAATGTTTGCTCCTAAATCTGACTCATTGTTCCTGTATTCACTTAGGAAGTCCCTATTATATTTGGAGTTGAAAACCCTTAGTAAAAGGCAAATTAGAAAAAGCTACCATAGTCAGCATAATTAGTATAGTTCTCTAATTTTCTTAAGAGTAGAAAGTTACGGGCTCTGGACAATAGATTCTTTTTTAAATGTGGAATTCTCATAGTTTTTATGAGAAATAAGTGTTCACATAACCCAGGGATGATATTTTTGGGAAAGCAGAAACATGAAAAAAAATTCCAAATGATATACTAATGATTGAAAAGAAATCGGCTGAAGATATTATAGACATTATTTGGTAGTTTTAGTGACAGAATGTAATTTATGCTCAAAGGCAAAATTGGAAAATTCTTAATTTTGATATTAGAAATACAGTTAAAAATATGGTTATGGTTTAGTTTTTAAACAAAATAATTATAAGCTACTCACTGCACATAATCTGATTTGCGTACTCATTTAGCTAACTTTGATGGAGCAACTGCTATGTGCTCAGGTCCCTCAAGTATCATTTTCTAAGTATATGGGGAGGGCAGAACATATTCTTTTCAAAATGCCATAAAAACTCAGAGGAAGAGATTACTCTGAAGAAGGTAAATTTAAACTTGGATGACTAGGATTGTCCAGCAGAAGGGTAGGGGAAAGGCAATCCAGGCCTATACATAAGTAAACAGATTTGAAAGTTTGGCAAGTACTGCTGCATGGGTGGAGGGTAGATTATTTTGTGTAGATCTAGGTAAAGGGATAGAGTCAGTACTGTGTAGCAAACAGAAGCAGTACAACTTGCTTTTATAACACTCAGAGGAGTTTGGAATTTCTCTCATAGAATATGTGTTTTAGAAAAAGATGATGTGATTATTCAGTACAAGAGTCTGGCATTAGTTTGAGTTGGATGGAAGAGAGAATAGAGGCCAGGAATGCTTGGGCAGATGGTGCAGTAGCGTGGAAAAGAAATGTTTAGTGCTGCAACAGGGGCCCTGAAAATGAAGAGGAGAGTCCCATCACCCCCCAACACTCAAGCTTGGTGAGTGTTCTACTACTAAACTATACCCCCAGTACTTTAGTACCCCCAGTACTACTAAAGACTGAACCCAAAGCCTTTTATGGCCTAGACAAGTATTCTACTACTGAGCTACATCTCCAGCCATTTTTATATTTTATTTTTGAGAATAGTCTTGCTAATTTGCTCAGGCTGGGCTCAAACATGGGATCTTCCTATCTTAGCCCCCCAGTAGCGGGATTACAGGTGTGTGCCACCTCACTTAACTGAGGCCATATTTAAAAGCGATGACAACTGCATTTGATTTGCAATTAAATTTTTAAAAATTAGATCAGTTTTAAATATGATTGGCTTTTGTGTTACATAACACAAAATTCTTTTTAACTAAGTAGGGAACTTTTATGATATCTAAGTAGGGAACTTTTATGATACAGACTTAAGTTTGCATTCTGTACTAGGTTAAATAGAACCTAATTCATTCTAATAGGTTAAATGAAACCTATTTCTAAAACTCAACTTTGTTATGTGTTTCTTTTTTTAAATTTACTTAAAATTTACCATTTCATCAGGTTTCTGCAAGTTTTGACATGCATATGCTGCATAGTCATAACTACCACCATAATCAAGATATAGAACAGTTCCATCACTGTCCCCCCCACCACTAACAAATTCCTGTGCACCTCTCTAGCTAGCCTTCCCCACTACCCTCTCCCTCCTGGAAACCACTGGTCTGTTTTCTGCTCCTGTCATCTTCCCTAGTTAAATACCATCTGTATGTGATATCTTTTTAGAAATTTTTTTTTTAATAGACTGGAGGCAGATTTTTTTTTTTTTAAACAGGTGATATTGATCAGTGGAAAGAGCACATTATTGACTTTCAGTCACACTGCCTGTGTTGGGCATTTCCTCATTTAGAAAATACTGAAGGTATCTATTTTAGGGAAACAGAAAACAACTGCCACACATTATAGTTGTTTTTTCATTTTCCAGTGCTTTTTCCTTTCTTCTTATGTCTCTAGTTCATATCACTGATTAAATGACCAAAAGTGGTTTTAGTAATTTAATTACAGCTATCACCCAGGGACTTGAAGAAAATGAACTTGAATTTTTTGTACAGAAAGGGAAATATACCCAACTTGTCGAAAATAGTGGTTTGGATGAGGAGTACCTCCCACTTATCCTGAAGGGTTTCTTTTTGTCTTCACAGGCTGTATTTCAGTTGTGATGGGACCATTTGCCTTCTCTGAGGTCAAGGGGAGTTGCTGATAGAGAATGAACTTTACTTTGTAGTCTTTAGGCACATTGCAAAACCATCGCTAATTAAAACAAACTGATTAGGGTTAACTGTAGATTTTGCAATTGAAATTTAAAATATAGGATTTTTTAATTCTTCTCATGCACTAAGAATAACAGCAACCACTTTTTAAAAATTAAACAACTGTTAAGACACAATCCACAAGCCACAAAATCATCTATTCTAAGTGTACATTCAGCAATTTAGAGAATAGACAGAATTGTGCACTCAGTGCCATGATCAATTTTAGAAAATTTTCATCACCCCCAAAGAAACTGCATACCCATTACCCATCATTCCCTAGTCCCTTCCTTCTTGCAGTCTCTGGAAACCACTCCTCTACCTTCTGTCTCTGTGGATTTGTCTACCCTGGAAATTTCATATAAATAAGGCAATATGTGGTCTTTCATTATTGTCTTCTTTCGTTTAATATGATGTTTTTCAAGGTTCATCCATGTGTGTCATATATTAGTGCTTTATTCCTTTTTAAGGCCAAATAATATCCTATTTGTATGAGGAGTTCCATTTTTCTACATCCTTTCTCTACCTGTCCTACTCTGTGTGAAGTTGTTTCTTATTGTGATATTGATTTGCATTTCCTGAATAGCTAATGATATTAAGTATCTTTTCATGTGCTTATTAACCATTTGTATATCATCTTTGGAGAAATGGCCCTTTGTAATTTGGGTTGTTTTTAAGTCTTTTTATTGTTGAGTTGATAAAAGTTTTGTTTTGTTTTTACTGGGGAACGAACTGGGGTTCTCTACCACTAAGCTACATTTTAGCACTTTTTTAGTTTTTCTTTTGAGACAGGGTCTTGCTCAGTTGCCCAGTTTGGCCTGAACTTTGCAATCCTCTTACCTCAGCCTCCTGAGTAGCTGGGATTATGGGTGTGAACACTGGTCCTGGAGTGAGAGTTCTTAAACAATTCCTTTTTGAGGGTCTGGTATGTGCCAGGCCATACATGCTAGATGTTTCACATTCAATCTTACTTTTTTCCCTCAGTTTTGGGGACCAAACCCAGGGACTGTATACAAGCTTGGTGGGTATTCTACCACTAAGCTATACCCCCCAGCTGTACATCTTTGTTTAATCCTCATAAAACTCCTTCGTGGTCAGTATTATATACCTGTTTGAAGGTGAGATTGATGTGTTTAGTGTTGCAACAGGGGACCTGAAAATGAAGAGGAGTCTATCTAAAGAAAGCCTCAAGTGGTAGGAATCAAGGTTCTAACCATCATCTGTCTCAGGGCAGAGTACGTGTTTTGTAGACTATTGGGTTCCCAGTCTTTGACATTGTTTAAATGAAGCCTGTATAGGTCTTACAATGAAATTTTTCAGCAATCTAGATATTCACCAACTAGGATAGTCTGCTGGTTTCTCTTCAGGGTCCTTTCCAACATTTTATTTATTTATTTATTTATTAAAAGAGAGAGAGAGAAATTTTTTAGTATTTATTTTTCAGTTTTTGGTGGACACAACATCCTTGTTTGTATGTGGTACTGAGGATCAAACCCAGGCCGCACACATGCCAGGCGAGCGCGCTACCGCTTGAGCCACATCCCCAGCCCTTTCCAACATTTTATATACTAGATTTATTCCAGGAAATTTATAGGTAAACCAAATTTAAATAAAACCAATCAGAATTTAGTTTTGCTAAAAGAACTTTGTGTATAAAGAAACCACATGAGAAGCTGGGTCTAGTGGCCCTCTATCTGTAATCCCAGCACTGAGGAGACTGAGATGGGAGGATCACTCGAGCCTGAGAGCTTGGAGCCATCCTGGATAACATAGTGAGACCCCCGTATCAAAAACCAAACAAAACAATGAAAAGAAATAGTAAGAATAAACTTTTCTGAGTGTGTATATTCTCTTTCTGAATTTCAGTTAATAGCTTCAGTTTCCTTTGAACAGGGCACACATCAAATAAATTGTAAGGAGGGGTTTTCAGAAAATATTGATAGCATACCACATATTAACTTTTTCCTAATCTGGATGAAAAGTTGGTTAATTATCAATTTGATGAGCTTTTCAAAACAAATAAGATCAAGAGATAGTCTGTGACCTTTGGGAACAAGTCTGGACATTACCACATAACAAATCACTGTACACTGCTACTAATATCTTATTTTATTATATTCAGTTAAGATGTAGCAAGTTTGGAGAAATACCTGGTGGTGGGTAAAGGTTGAAAATTCAACTATTGATTAAATGGAATTGGCTTTTGGAGAAAAACTAATGTTGTCACCTGGCTTTAGATCACACAGACTTTATGTGTTGGGAACTAGTGATGCTTAGTGTTTTGTTTGTTGCTGTTGGTTTTTTTTTTTTTTTTTTAATGTGGCATCTGCTTTTGAGAAGTAGATCTTTAGTAGGGTCTCATAGAAAAGGAGTTTTTTGGGCCAGGTCTTGAAGGGAGAAGCAGAATTTGCCAAGAAGGAGACATTCAGACCCAGAAGCAAAGCCACATGGCCCTGAAGCCTCCCTGCTCTACTGCTTCAGATCCATTCCTGGTTCCTGTTAGTGTGATGCCCCTAGTAGGCTCACTTTTCAACTTGTTAGATTTTCCATAGCCACCCTTTCATTCCCACTCTGCTGATTGCTTTATCTTATTCTTTGTTGAGAATGTAGCAATTTTTAAACCCAAACACCCTCATCATTGATCACTAGACTGATAGACCTGTCTGGAATTGCACCTCTCTGATCCTGTTTCTTCCCTTCAGCCTCCATGGCTTAGATCCCGTCCCCTGTCACCTTCTTAAGATTTCTCTCCTTCCACCTCCTTTCCTCTGGTTTATTATTATCATCAGGTATAGCTCTTCTGATAAGTCAATCTTGAAACCAAACCAAACATTCCTTGAAAATTCTAACATATACTACATCATAAATAAACCTTTTAGACATTAAGTGATAGACTCTAGTCACATGAAGACAAATGCTTTATGATTTCACTTATATGAAGTACTTATGGGTGGTCACAGTCATAGAGATAGAAAGCTGAATGGTGTTTGCCCGGAATAGCAGGGAGTGGGAAATTAAGGAGTTATTACTTAATGGATACAGAGTTTCAATTTTACAAGATGAAAACAGTTATAGAGATGGATATTGGTGACAGTTGCATAACATTATGAACATATTTAATACCACTGAACTGTGTGGCACATGCCTGTAGTTCCAGCTACTCAGGAAGCTAAGGTAGGAGGATCACAATTTTAAGGCTAGCCTGGGAAAGTTGGTAAGAACCTTATGGTTCTCAAAATTAAATTTTGAAAAGGGCTGGGAATGTTGCTTTATCCTTAGCATGCACAAGGTTCTGAATTCCATCCCCAGTACTGGGAGAAAAAAAAAAAAAAAAGAAGAAGAAGAAGAAGAAGAAGGTGGTAAATCTTGTGTTATATATATTTTAACACAGTGAAAAAAAATAGAAAAGTTTTTTAGAAGTACATCCAGGAAAAAATATACATTTCTTGAAGAGATTAAAGAGATTAGTCAAAAGATTCTATTTTTTTTCCCACCTCAAAATAAGAAGATAACCTTCCTTGATACCGTGTTCCCCTCTAAAGATCATTCCATTTCACTGTTCCCCTAAAAGGAATGTCTCAAAAGAGCCATACTGTCCTGTTTCCTTTCATTTCCCCTCAGTCCACTGTAATTGACCACTACCCTCTGCCGCTTGAAGCAGCCTTTGTCAAGGTCATGTGTTACCTTGTTACCAAATCCAGTAGATACTTAACCTTTGGCATAGTTTACTCCTCCCCCTGAACTCCCTCTCCTCTGGGCTCCTGTGATACCATACTTCCCTGGATTTCTGCTTGAGTCTTCACTGGCTGCTGCCTCCTCCCCTTCTGTCCCAGACTCTAAATAATGGGGTTCTGAAGGGCATTGTCCTGGGCTCTCTTTCTCTATAATTCCCTTATGTTCCATTCCCAGGGATTTAAAGGGTTATGCTGTTTGTTTTTTGTCAGTTTTTTTTTTTCCGCTATGACTAAAAGGCCCTGACCAGCATAACTGTAGAGAAGGAAAAGTTTATTTAAGGGCTCATGGTTTCAGAGGTCTCAGTCAATAGAAGGTTTTTTGTCCCTTCTCCCCAAATCATTCTGTTCTTTTTTGTAAGGATAGTCACAAACTATTTCTTTTCCTTGTTACCATTTCTGTGGTTTTCCAGATTCCTTGCTTTGGCTTGTCTACATAATCCGGTCTCTGCCTAATTCTCCAATTTCATTTCATGTCATTTTCCCTTACTCATTGGGTTCTAGTGAGGTTGGTCTTATTTTACTTTCTGTTAACATACCAAGCTCTTTTCTCCCTCAGGATCTTGGCAGTTTCTTCTTTGAATAGCTAATTCCCTTTCTTCCTCTAACAGAATAGTAGCTTGACATCACCTGTTCAGAGAGTCATTTCTTGACTGTCCTACATAAAGTAAGTTTCTCTTTTTCTTTGTATCCAGATACGTGCTACAATTCCCAATCTTTTGGGGGAATATGTGGCTTTTTTTTTCTCCAGCAGAAGAATATAAACTCAGTGAGGACAGGGATTGGGTGTGACAGCTTCACCCTAAAATCCCCAGTGCACCTGGCAGTGTAGCAGAAGGTCACTAAATGTTTATGAAGTGATAGAGCAAGGGAAAGGAAAAATGAACTGGGAGCCTGTATAGGGAGGAGGTGAAAAGGGGAAAGAAAGAAAGAAAGAAAGAAGGGCTGTTGATGAGTAGCTGCTCTGCTTCTTTCCTTCAGACATTTCCTTCCTGCATTCCAGTCTGCTGTTGTGGTATGTGAGAGGAATTACCTGGCAGCCTAAGCTGCCCTCTTCTTCCTCAGACTGCTGGGATTTGTGTCCATACCTAACCTTGAGGCTCTGAATCAACAGTAGTTATGGCTCTTGTTGTTCACCATGGGCCACGAACTCTGAGAGGTGATCCCCTTTAATCCTGCAGTCTTTAGCACATTCCACCTCTTCTCTCCCTCCCACACGTGCACTGCAGTGAAGTAGCTTGCTCTAAATCATGTCACTTGTGAGTGGAGGAGGCCCTTGGGTTCAGCCTGTGGCTCTGTAAAGGCTGTGTTCCTTGTGCCACATCAAGCCATATTTCTGTAGTTGTTTCCTAAGTATCAAACAATCCAGTAGACAGATGGTTGTTAAACCCTTGTATTGGAGATTTAAAAAAAAACAAAACAACAACAAAACAATCTCAAATCCAACCTGCTTCCTTCCCACTCTCTTATTTCCCTGTTGTAATTATTATCTTTCACTTGGACTGTTGCAAAAGCTACTTGATTGATCTCCCTGCCCTCCCACATACTCCCTTACAGTCCATTTTTCAGCTGGCATGTACTCTCTCTATATCCCCTTAACCAGCTTTATTTTCTTCATAGTAACTATATTTTTTTATTTATTTGCTTGCCAATTGTCTCTCTCCACTGCTAATATAAGTTTCTTGGGGGAGCTTCTTTGGTCTATAGTATTTTCAAGCATAATGTCTAGCACATAATGAGTTGCTCAATATTTGGTGAAAAATTGGGAAAAAGGATTGTTTTATGTGCTTTTTGAAAATTTTAGATAAGAGTTGCAATATCTCTAGGAGTTTTTGACAATTACTATTGTATAAATGTTGAAAACCCTAGTACCCATGAATTGAAATTGATCCTTTCCCCCAATTCTCATAGGACACATCAAATTGAGGCTGCTCCCACCAGTGCTGCAAGTGATGGATTTAAGGCAGATCTTGTCTTTAAGGAGATCGAGAAGAAGCTTGAAGAGGTGAGATCTGTGTAAAACATTGCCAGGGACTCTGAGGCTTCGAAGTGCACACAGGTTTCATGTTGTGACACAAGTTGAGAATTTTTGTCATGTTGTCAAGTATTCAGTATGTTTTAGATTTCTGAGAGTTTAATTAAGGCTTCCTTGTAATTCTAGTAAGAATTTTATTTCAGAAATGTACAGATCTCCAGATGGAGTTAGAGAACTAGAATAAATAAGGTTTAAAATTGTCCCTCAGTCCCTTGTAAGAGAGAGATTTAGTTCTGGACAAAGTTCAGGTGTATAAGGGGTTCTCATATATTTTGGTGTAATTTCCTTCTGAATTAAAAAGATTTTATGTAGAATAATTCCAAAGAATAATATTTTAAATAATATTTAAGTGAGCCTTTAAATGTACATGATTCAAAATTCTTTTTTAAAAGGAATCATTTGTATTTGATTTCTCTGTTTTTCTGTACTGGGAGTTGAACATAGGGCCTTGCACATGCTGGGCAAGCACTCTACCACTAAGCTACATCTCTGGCCCTTTTTATTTTGAGACATGATCTTGTAGGTTAACCAGGCAGACCTTGAACTTGTGATCCTCCTGCCTCAGACTCCCAAGTAATTGGCATTACAGGCATGTGCCACCACACACAGATGTCTTTTCAAAGTAATTTTTAACTAATTGTTTTCTTATAAGAATTGATACTAATTTTTCAAAAATTTACATTGTACAGAAATAAACACAAAATAATTATTTTTAATATTTAGTTTTTAGTTTTAGGTGGATGCAATATCTTTATTTTTATGTGGTGCTGAGAATAGAATCCAGTACCTCACACATGCTAGGCAAGTGTGCTACCACTTGAGCCATATCCCCAGTCCCCAAAATAAAAATTTAAACCTCCCCAAATTCTACTACTCACAGTTCACTGAAGTGTCAACAATGGTGAATATTCATTCAGATATCTCTCTCTACATAAATTTAAAATTTTATAATGAGGATCATACAATATATGTTGGGTTTTTAAATTATACCATATATGCAGATATTTTTGTACAATAATTCTTGATAATAATCATATAGAAGCAACCTAACAGGAAGATTATTCTCCTTTGATAGAATTAGATATTTATTTCATTGTTTCAAACTTAGAAATATCTGGGATTTCATTATTGATTTCTTGAGACCATGCAAGGTACAGTTACAGTCACTATCACAATTCAAATTACACATCTGATGTGGAGTTCAAAGTGGACTGAAGTAAATAAGAGGATTCAAAACTTTTAAGCTGTGTATTTCAGTCCAGTTAGAGCCACAGAGAAGCAAACACTGTGTGTGTTTCGTAATATTTACTGCTGGGCACAGCATCTAAGGTGATTACACTGTGGGTGGGAGGCAGCTGTGTCTTGTGAAAGGGCCTAATATTTCCAGGATCTTCATAATGATCAGCAGCCTTCCTGAGATGGAGCAGGGCCAGGCTGATAGCTCCAAGAGAGTGCCACTAATCCAGAAGCTGTAGGAGGTTCACATGGTCATCTTGTGAGGTTGTATCTGCATGGGGCTACCTGTTGTTTTATAGTCTGCTGTTTTCTCTTGCTGTTTCTTGGCCATCAATATAAATCTTTACCATCCTTTTCAGTACATAGTATGTGTTGCACATATGTATCATAATTTATTTAACAAACTTCCTATGATTAATATCAGATTGTGTTTAAATTTTGAAAGTAAAACACTACTATAATGAATTTCCTTTTGCACTTGTCTTTAGGTACTTATTGCAGGATCAACTTAGTTTAATAATTAAAGGACAGAATTGTTGGATAGTTAGATAAATACATTTCTCATTTTAATAGTTTGTGAAAGTCCCCACCAGAAGGAGGGTATTGGTTGGTGGACTTCCTAACAGTTCAGGAGAGTAACTTCTTTCTTTATACCTTCTCTGATACTGTGTTGGTTGCTTAAAAAAAAAAAAAAAAAATCTTTGACAACCTAGTAGGGAAAAAAATCTCATAATTGTGTTTTGAATTTCTTTAACTGTCCACTGTAAAATGAAGATGGACTCTAATGAGGGTTCAGCTTGATTTTTCTTCTTTTTCTTTTTTTTAACTGCAGTCTGTTTGAAAAATCAAATAAAAGGATTAGAGATCATCTAGTATGAGGTCTGAGGTATGACCATAGATCAATCATTGAATACTCCATTATTGAGATTAACAAAGCAGTGCTGTTTTTATTTTGCGGTATGCTTTTAGCTTTGCAAATGTATGCCTCTTGCTCCCATTTTAATTCCTTTCTCTTCCATGAACTCACCCCCACAGACCTTGTCCCCTTGTTTCTTTTCTCCTTCCCACGATTGTCAGTTTTCTCAGTATTTGCAGCACTAAAAAGTGAAAGTCTTGGAATCTTTTGTCAATTCATGCATTTTCTGCATTAGCAAAGGCTGTTTGGTAAGAGATTTTATTTCCACTTTTGTCTTTGTTAGCAATACTCCATTGCCCTTCTTTGAATTTGTCTTAATTTTTTGTCCCTATTGAGTTTACAACAGGACCCTACTCCATGACCTTTTGCCTACTCAGAAAGAAGTACTTTTCTTCCCATAAGGAGGCAGTTAGAACTTTCTTAGTACTAATGATCTCTAGTTTCACAACTGTGTTTTCTTTTTCTCTTTAACTCTCTGTCCTTCTGCTTCATTTCCTTGAATACTCTCATTCCCACTTCAAATGAAAATGCTTTATTGACCAAGGGATGTGATTTTCTAAGAGTCATTTGGTTCTCAGAAGTAATACCAAGTACAAATTAATCTACAACTATCTTAAGGAGATAAGAGGGTAAGTAGTAGTAAGATTGCAGGAATTTCTCTTCGAGCATGCAGGTGAAATTTCTAAGTGCTTGCTGATGTTTTCCTGCTCTAACTTGTCAGCATCTGCTCATAGATGTATTCCTGAGCCTTTGTGCAAGCGGGTGGTATGGATGTACCTACAATAGTCCTTCAGGGGCCACTGGCCCCAGAGGAAGTCTGGCTCTTGGGTGTCTTAGCACATCACACCAACATTATTAACTCCCTCTCCTAGGTCATCTCCAGAGTTAGAGAAGACTCCAGGGAATGTGGGGAAGACTGAACTTTCTTCTAATTCATGTTATGGTAGCAGATACTATTCTGCTGTCATAGGCTCACGTTTGGACAATTGATACAACCTACAGTTGTGGTACAGTGTGGTCAGATGGAAAGAGGAGCGAATGTGGGATTGTGATTGAATTCAGGTTTTACTACTTATTAACCATGTGTTCCTGCCCCTCAGGGAACATTGTTTAGTGGAAAGAGAGACGTGGAAAATTTTTTCCAGAAAAAAATAACTATTTGGGTGCATGTGCAGAAGTCCATCAGAATTCTTCAGAGGAAGCCTTCCCAGAAGAATTAGCATGTGAGCTGAGACTTGAACGATGAGGTCAGGGTAGGAAAGAAGAATAGGAGTTGAGCAACATGGGACAAAGGGCATGAATGAGGTGAGGGCATAGAAGCATAAGAGACCTTGGTACTATATTCAAAATTATCAGTATTGTTAGAGCATAAAATCTGTGAGGGAGAGAAAGTGGCTGGTGATCAGAGACAAATATGCCTCAACTCATGAAGATTCCTAAATGATAAAGATAGACTTCACCCTGTTGCCTAGGGGAGACCATGTATGAAATTCAAGCCTTAAAGTGTTGGAAGGTTATGTTAAGAATTAGAGTTAGGTTATGTTAGATGAATTGCTTGGCAGCAATATAAAAGATAGTCTGAAGGGTGCTTGACCTTTATTTATTTACTTTTTAAATATTTTTTATTTGTAGATGGACACGATATCTTTATTTTTTATTTTTATGTGATGCTGAGGATCAAACCCAGTGCCTCACATGTGCGAGGCAAGCACTCTACCACTGAGCTATAGTCCCAGCCTGGTTCTTGTCCTTTATGAGCCTTGGTTGCCTTTTCCACATAATTAGAAAAGTTAATGTTAATACCTACCCAGCTACTTATAGGGCTTTATGAAGGTTAAAAAAATAGTATTTGTACAAATACTTGAAAACTTTGAAGCCCCCCTCCCCAGTTATTAAGATTTATTTAAAACATTTTGGGTAAACTCTATTAAGGTAAAACAAAATAAGATAATTTCTTTTTTTTTTTAATATTTATTTTTCAGTTTTTGGCAGACACAACATCTTTGTTTATATGTGGTGCTGAGGATCGAACCCGGGCCGCACACATACCAGGCGAGCGCGCTACCGCTTAAGCCACATCCCCAGCCCCAGATAATTTCTTTTTTACTTAAAAACTTGACAGTGGTTTGGTTTTTTGGTTTGACTAGAAAATATTGGTGGTTAATTTCAAAATATTCACATAAAAGATGCCTCCATAGCTTTTGAGATAAGTAGGCCTAGACTGTATGTTTTTAGGACAGCTGCTTTGGACCCATGATTGATTTCAAATAGGCTTAGGGTGATTTACCTGTATAAGAAAAATATTGACACACCCAGGATTATGAAATAGTATACCTATTTTAGAAAAGCAGTTCGGTAGTTCCTAAACAACTTAGACATTACCTTATTACTCAGCAATTCCACTATATACCTAAGAGAAACTAGAATTTATGTACACACAAAATATTTTACATAAGTGTTCATCACAGGATTATTCATTTTTAAAAAGTGAAAACAACCATCAATGGATGAATAAACAAAATAAGCTGCATCTTTATAGTGGAATATTACCTGGCCATAGAAAGGAGCAAAATACTGATTGATATACACTTCAACATGCACAAACCTTAAAAACATTATGCTAAGTGAAAGAAGCCAGTCACAAAAGACCACACATTGGATGGGTATGGTGGCACTCAGCTGTAATCCCCACTATTCAGTAGGCTGAGGCGGGAGGAACAAAAGTTTGAGGCCAGCCTCAACAACTTAGTGAAACCCTGTCTTAAAATTAAAAAAAAAAAAAAAAAGCGTGGGGGGCTGGGGTTGTAACTCAGTTGGT